CCCTAAACCACATATATGTAAGTTCCCCTTAGACAACAACTACCAGATTTGGAGGTTTCCCTAAATTACTGTTCCCAAAATCGGGGGATATTTATATAGGGACCCGTATTATAATAGGAATCTAAATATAGGACCCCGTATTATAGGGAATTTAGACCAATACCCACATGAAAATGTGGCAGGCTCCTCCAGCTTCTCCCCCGTAGCCTTAGAAAGCTTCCGTGCATCTGCCTCCTCAGGGTTTATCAGAACGGGAGGGATTCCTTGGAGGGTTTAGGGTTTAGGGTTTAGGGGCTTCCTTGGAGGGCCTAGGGATTTACAGACAGCACAAGGGAATTCTGAGGGCGCCCCAGACCCCTAAACCCTAAACCAAAAAAAACTAAAACCCTAAACCTTATATGATATCCCAATATAGTAACACCAATATAACCCCAATATACAAACCTTATATCATATCCCAATATAGTAAATATAACCCCAATATAGCCTTTAATAAGCTCCCTCCTCATCTTGGAAGCTCAAGGCGGAGGTTTCGAACTTTGCCCTCCGTCTCACCTTAGGCCCTCCTAGCTAAGGAAGAAAGAAAGATTGTCTTAACGGTTGGAAAACGAGCAAATTGTCCCAAAAGCATACGTAATGGTAATAGTGATGGTAATAGCAATAGTAATATAACCCATTATAATAGTTTCCATGTTCTTGTCCATTGTCTCGATGTAACCCCAATATATGCCCAATAATCCATATACAACCCCTATATAATCCATGAAGTTCTAATGGGGATTCAGTCACCATGGTTGCAGCGTTGATCTTCAGCAGCACCAAGAGCACGGTCCCTGCCTCTTGCTCCTTTCGAATGGCGTCCAGTGTGCGCTGCAGGAAGTCTTCTTGCTGCTCGGGATGTCGGGTGAGTGCCCATGTGAAATTTCCCAAGTGCCATGTCTCCACCACCCTAGATGTCATAGCCTGCATTCGCTCCTGATCGCGGGCAACTTCGGCCTGATGAATCATGTCGTCCCACGTTTCCTGGTACTTGCCCTTCTCCTCCTGCTCTCCTCGCAAGGAAGTACCCAACTCCTCATCAGATTCCCACTGGAGTCTCTGTGCCACCATCTTCCTGACAGTGCTCTTCCCTGCGGTATGAGCACCCATGATGACCACCGTAGCCTTTCGAACCTTGGGCCGCTCCCAAGACTGCTCTAAGTGCTGTGGGGAGAAGGGCAATACCGCCCTTGGGCCTTCCCAAAGCCTGGAAGTTGAGCGATGCCATTCACATCTACGAGTACCACCGGGGGCTGGCGGATGCCCGATGAGAACTTCCATTCTGTAGGGAATGAAGATGTAAGCAGTGGAGGGTCCATATCGAGTATCATCAGATCGAGCACCTAAAACCGCCTCTTGGTCAAACAACGCCATCCGCCGTTCCGAAGGCCCTGCCAGCTCATGCTGGCAAAGCTCCTTGCACCGCTGCATAGCACAAGCCAGGCTGAAAGGTGGCGGCGGGGATCCCCATCGCATCTTCCTTACCAGACCTTCACCCCTCCACTGCTGCTGGAAGGGATAGCTGCCAAGCAACAGCACCATGGAAGCAGGGACCTCTTCACCTGCCTGGCCAGTTGCACCACCCGCACTGCCCAAACTGAAGAAGATGAATCCGGTCTCTGTCACGGAATGTATCCCAAGGTTCCGCACGGATGGAGGGCCCGCAGGTGAACGGTTTGGTGTTGCGAGCTGGAATGACCACGGGACATGTTTCCCTCTCCTCCCCAATTGCCATTTCTTGTCCCCAGCGATGTCCCCCAAAAGCCCTTCCTTCCTCGCCTTACTGTGGTTGGTAGCGAATAAGGGAATAAATCCCTACATTATCCCTATATTAGTATTGCCTTATTCCCTAAACTGAACCCGAAACCCTAAACCCAATATGTACATATACATCTGCATATACAGTTACCTATACATATACATATACATATACACATATACAGATGTATTACCACATTCCCTACTAACCACCAGCAAGTCGCAGCATTGACCAGGCTGCGCAAGGGATCTTCACCCAGAACCGACTCCAAGTCGCCAGTAGAAGGAAACATGGCCTTAGGGGTTTAGGGTATAGGGGACTGTTATTGGGGTTATATACTTCTTAAACGGGGTTATATAAGGGATTATATTATGGGTTTCGGGTTTAGGGTTTTTGGGGTTTTAGGGTTTGGGGTTTAGGTGCAATCTCTACAGGGGGAACCCAATGTCGTCCTAGTCCCCATATTTATACATATATATATATATATACATGCATATATAAGCACCTCCCTACTTCGAGAACCCCCCCCCCCCACATGGCCTTGTCAATCTCGCCTCGGGCCAGGTCCAGCAGTTCCTGCTCGCTGAGGCTGTTCACCCTCAGACTGATCTGCTCCACGTCGAGACTCTGCAAAGCCTTGTGCACATTCGCCAGTTCGGGGCTGCTTGCCGCGGCATCCGGGACCAAAGTCAGCTGCAAACTGGGCATCAATAAACCTGGTGGCCACGCCATACATAGATCGTCGCAGGATGCTCCCAGACTGCAGGAAAAGACCGAAGAGCAGAAATTTTAAATGATGAACACTAGCGGCGTACGCTCAGCCATGCAGACATCCTTGCATTCCTGCACAGCCATGTAGTTGGACACGACCTTGAAAGCCCAAGCAACTGCCCCTCCAACCTTGTCGAAGATGCCCTTGACAACACTCAACGAGGCCGGTGGAGCGCATGCCAGACGCACGGAGGACTTGGAGCACTCGCCTTCCAAGCCTTGACCAAAACCCCTACCCTTGCTTTCAACAATGCCTTCCACACTCACAATGATGGGCTTGTACCACGGGCTGCTTAGCTCGCAAGTCTTCTGCAGGTTCTTCAACCTCTCATAGAAAGCTTCGACGTCCTTCCACCCCTCTTCCCCCGCGCATGATTCGAGTTTTGAGACTGTCGAAGCAGCCCTCAACTCACATGCTGCTGTGGAAAGATCCGGAAAAGACTCCCAGGAACCAAGCCTCTGTTTCTTGCAGCCAGCATCCATGTCGTCCAGCTGACTGCTTAAAAACACCTAGCTATGCTGTACTTGAGCCAGGTTGCCCTGCAGCCAGCAAATAGGATTCCAGGTCTACCACATACTTCCAAAAAAGTGTACCCTCACTGGCCCTAGCAGCAAGCGGAATAACAAGGGAGCTATCATACAGACCTGGTTTCAATGGTAGTTTCCCGAATTAGGGGGACCCCAATGTAGACCCCAATACTATAATCCTTATTATAGGGACTCCCAAAAAGGGTACCCCTAATTTTCGGAAAACCCCAAATGTCCTCCCACTTGATTGGATGATTGAAGCCAAATTTGCTGATCGCCCAGGCATGCATCTGCCAAGCCTGGTGAAGGCCATGTCGACGACATCGAACCCGCCAAAAGTTCAGCCGGCCACTTCTACCTTACCCGATTCAGAAATGTCAAAAGCAGTCTGCTTAAACGCGGACCGTACTTGGAAGCCACCCCTCTGCCACTGTCGCTGATGGTAGACATCATGACCACACTGATTCCGAAATTCTGCGGCATTGACATTCATTGGAATCTAGCCTTGGCCCCTCGGGATCCTACTCCCCTGAACCTTAAACAGCTTCAGGCTTGGGATTTGCGAGGAAAATCTGGTATGCACATTGCTTCGAGCTATTTGGTTTCTAGATTGGGAACAACAAATGCCACGAGGATGCACGCAGCACTCAACAGCACTAATTGAGTAACGTTTTTGTGGGTGGTTGAACCCAGTACGATTATATCCCGCATATAAAATGCTATACCCCAAAAGGGGGATATAATCTTACTCTATATTGGGTACCATAGTATCCCCAAAATGAATACTACTTAGATTCAATTAGAGGGGTGCCAGCCATGGATGCAGACACGTTCATCTTTGCGTGCCTCATGCAGGTATAATCTTTAAAAGCGTGGCAGGGGGAGCTGCACATATCAGGCAGAGCAAACATTTTGAATGTTGGCCTTCCTGAAACCTGCACAGGAAGAAGTAGATAAGTGATGAGATATCACACACACAAAATGTAGAAGAAGAGCCTTCACTCTTCAACTAATTGAAACTGTGCTGTCCTAACCACTACTCAGGAATCAGGAACAGACACATCTAGAATCAACATCCCCCCTAATCATCTTTTCAGCAAAGGTGTCGACGGAGATTGTTTCGTACCACACTTGCTTCTCATCAAGCCACTTTTTCTCCCCTTTTTGTGAATTCCCCAAAGAGCCATCTGTTTTGGTCACAAAGACGAGGCGGCATCCCTTGAGAAGTGCATCCTGCGTGTTCTTCACCCACATGAGGAACCACAAGCAACCAAAGTCATCTGCCGAGCCTTTCTCGTGCGGAAATCCTCCGTATAGATAGTGACAGTAGCATCCTCCATCATACAAGCTCTGCGGAGGATGAACACCCCAACCTGATGACATGTCTCCCTTGCAAGGCAAAAACACGCAAGTCGTATGGAATCGCGGCCGCGAGTTCTCCACGACTCCTGACACCAGTTTATTCCAAGCTCGTCCATACACCCCAGGAAAGCTAACAATCACCTCAGCCCCCTCGATGAAGCATGGACTTCCTGAGAATGTAATGCGGGCATGGCGAAGATCGGGGTCATTTTCGTACTCGGCTTCATCATTCACCTGCCGAAGCAGGTTTTGAACTTCTCCACGAAAGTCCTGAGCCTCTTGCTTTAGTCGCCGAAGTTGAGCTGCCTCTATCTCCGAAGATGAACGCTTTCTGTGGCAGTGGACTTGGAGCAATCCCATCTTGAAGAGTGTCTTTCTTGGGGAGAGCAGAACATCTGGGCCGAGATCTGCAATCAAGTCATGCGGTTGTGCTCATGACCCCTTGCAAGCATGAAGGTCTATCCTTGCCCTTCCTTCACTGGCGGAACTCCATGTCAGCAGTCAACAAGCCATATCTTTCCGAATGCTCAGCCCAGCGCCCATACGATGGCGCAACTGCAGCACTTTCACCTCATCTAAACCCTAAATAGTAGTTTCCATTTTCTTTTCCATTATAACCCCAATATTATATTGGGTAGCAAGAAATCAGAGTTCAGCAGCCAGCAGCCTGATGGGTCTGCAGCACTACATCGTAAGTTCCTCTAGTGCCACGAGGCCATGGGAAGACACACTCCGCCAACTCGACTCGACCAGGAATTGTTTATGACAAGCTCTTCTGGGTTGCTGTTGCGGAACTTAATTTCAATTACTATATTGGGGATACCCCGTTATTTACTATATATATATATACATATATACATATGTATATATATATATACCCATTATGGTAATCTAATTTAAGTTCCTCAACAGCAACCCAGTCTTCTGACACGTACGCATGTGGTGGGAGGGAGCTGCCCCCTCCCCAAACCGCCCCTCCCCGAAAGCCAAGCCGAGCATCAGAATTCCTACCACAGGTATCAGGGCTAAATAGGGATATGTTAAGGTGATATAGAGATTCTATAGGGATAATGAAAAAGAAAATGGAAACTACTATTTAGCGTTTAGGGCTTCCCTAAACAATCCAACATAGACTTGATTGGCCCAGTTCCAGCAAAATACTTTGACCGCTCTTGTGGAAATGTTTAGCCTGATGCCCTGACAGCTGACATCTTGCAGCCAAGCTGCGCGGCTCGCCTTGTCAAGCACTTCCACAGGGACCTCGAGAAATGTTAGGTTCAGAAGCTGATGGAGCAGCGGGCGCTGGCAGCTGAAGTAGGTGCCTGGTTTGTATCGCCTTTCTCCACCAGGCAGCAATGGGAATCAATGTCCACCATCAGACCTGCCTGGACGTATGTGAACCTCATGGCATCAAGCTCGCAACTACACTTCAAATGTTCGCTCTACATTGCCAGGGCCCCGGCACCAGGAAGTTGTTCTGTAGAGTCCTGGGAAGGCAGGGCACAGCCGCGCCGTCTGCGCCTGCAAAATCAAAATCTCTGTGGAGAATGCATGTGCCAACCGTCATAACCTTTCGTGATACACGGTTGGAAAATGGCTGAACATAATGTTCAGGTGCCATACCTAATTCACAGCTGTGCAAGCCGATCCCGGAGCGGACGCGTGCCGGCGCTTAAAAGTGAGAGCTTCACCATGCACATCGCAACAGCACATGTGGAAAGTAGGAGCACTTAGAGTAGGTTGGGGCAAAAGCCTGTCGATCCCTGAACCTGAAAAATGCATCATCAGCACATGGTGCAGAATGCATTATCCCACCTGACTCCGCATCCTCCTTTTTGGGCTCAGTAGGGATATGGGAGATTGGAGTGCCTGCGGCCACGCCGGCCCCCAATGAAGGCCCGATTGTTTGTCAACTGTTGCCCCACTTGCACCCTCCGATCCTGGAAAAAGCGAGCATCTTTTAGGCTAAAATGAGGCATAAGCACCTGACCATCCAGGAAAACCAGCATGTGTAGCAAACCCTCGATGAGATTCGCCATGGCATTGTTACTACCACCATCGCACACATCCCACAAGGGCCAACACCTGCAACATATGACTTCCTAGATTGATTAACCAGAGACAGCTGGACAAGCTATCTGTTTAAGGCATTCGGACCCTAAACCCTAAAGCGCCTTTGGATTCTCAAGGCCCAATGTTTTTGGAAGCCGCCACGCAGTCCTTGCTGCAGACGAATTCAGTTCAAAACAATTGCTCTCTGGAGCCTATGCAAGACGTAACCTGATTCACATATGAAGGTTCCCAGAATCCACTCCACACGGGAAAGCTGAGTCTATACAAATAATTCGCTAGGAACAGGGTCCCTAGAAAGACAGCAATCCACAAGGATTCCGAGAGATGAACAAAGTTTAGCGCCATTGTGATCAGCATGCCCTTTCTCTGGGCAAGCATTTGCCACCTAAATCGTCCAGACGTTCTGATCATCCGCATGGATGGTTCCTTTGACATATTCCTGGAATGCGCGCATGAGCCATGACATAAACTCTTCCTTGACCATGGTATTCACCACATCAAACCCGAAAGAGCTGCGGACCAAGTCTTTGATGGCCAGCGCGTCGGCTTCCACGGAAGCTTCTGCGTTCTGCAAGTCAATCTGTAAAAAACTGTCTCGGACGCGCCAGGGAGAGGTTTCCAGTACCTGTGAATTCTCAAAATGCGGGGCCCCTAGCGGCCCCGCGAATACACAGGGATCGCAAACAGGATTATTGGGTGTCGTTATTAGGGATCTTATTGGGATTATTTCGAGAAACACCCACCTGTTTGAAGGTCGTCAACTCTTTCGGAGGCAGTATGACGGTCATGGGAAAGTGCTTCTTCAAACAAATGAAAGTTTCGAATAAACACCAGGCCCTCTTGTAGTAATGTGGCGTCAGGAAAGTGTCCAGGATCACCAGCATGTTCCTTGCGCTTGATAAGCGTGATTCAAAGACCGCACTGAGGTCGTCAGAGTTGCTACAACTGCCATCCTGGATTCGATACTGATTGTTACAAAAGAAGCACATCCACAAGAAGACCTCCGCCGTCTGTAAAGACGAAGACTGTGCCCACAGCCAAACACCACTGACCACCACCTCCAGGGTGTAGTGCCAGCACCAGGAGACAAAATGAGTTGTGGGAGAATGATGTTCTGGAGGCAAAGCATCCACAATGCTGCAGTTTGGCCTACCATCGCGCGGGCAAATCTTTCCAAAGCCCTTTCCTGTCTCCCCAAGAGCCAGAACAGGGCACATCTCGTAGAAATTTGGGTTCTTCAGGCCTGTGGCTTCCTTGCCTTCAGATGGAAACTGCTCCAGCAAGTAAGAGGCCGAGATTCCCAGCTGCACCTGGACGCGTTACTTGGAGGTTCAGGATAGTTATGATGCACTGGTGACTAGTACTTAGATTTCAGTTCTACGCCCCCTGGGTATAAGTGGGTCATCAGTGACACTCATGATTCTGCTTACCCTGAACCTCCAAGTATTTGGCATTTGAGGATCAGTAATTAACAGAACCTTAGCCTCAACTTGCACAATCTACCTGCAAATCCAAGTAGCAGGCTTCTACCGGCCTCATAAAGCAACCCAAAAACGGGTTTAGGTTTCAGATAGAACGGGAACCTATTCCTGATAACCGCCCACCTCGTAGATTGTCGCTGTTCTGGCGAGGGCTGTTGAGGATTTTGTCTCACCCTCAAGGCTCAGTGCCATCGTCCGTCCTCACCAGGTTACCCTAAAGGCTCATGGGTGGCGTTGTATGTAGGATAGCTACGCACCGTCAGACCCTGATTTATGGCACCTCTGACTCCACTTCGAACCAGCTATGAGGCTTGAAACAATCTCTTCGGAGATCTTTTCAAGGAAGCAAAACACACTTAGTGTGCATCAGTATCATTCACATCCCTGAGACCCTGAGAAACAGCACCGTGGTCCTAGCAGCACCTGCCCGGGGACGGCAGGCTTCTCTGGGTGGCGGGTCCGCCTCCTCCAAACGCAAGCCAAGCAAAGCACGGCAATCAAGACCTCGATGATTTTTCAGAGAACATCGAGATTGCAAAGGACAGAGATATGGATTTTTCGTGAGGATTATGTACTGGGTCTAGGACTGTGTTGGTGACCTACAGAACTTAACCTCCCTTCTCAGGATGCAACGTCATACAAAGCTAAAATCTAAAACCTTCTGGGCGGTGATCCAGAGACCAGGACGCCAGAGAGCACAGCCAGCAAAGTCGAGACTGGCAGGGCTTTCTTCGTTGTAGTCACCATTTGATTACGCATGGCTTTCTTCGCCGTTGTGGTCACCATGAGATAGGAGAATACGTCTGGCACCCTAGTTTGACAAGGCCTCATGACCTGCATCATCTGGCATGAGCCTCGATGAAAATCGATCTCCTGCAGCCAATCCTGCCCATCCTTGTAGACGAAACCGTTGCACCACCACTGTTTGCGACACCGCTCTGCGCATTCATATACGCTTGATGTGTCCTGGAAAATATATAACGCGTGCGACGGATATGAACACTCTCCTTGGTGGTCATTTGTTGTAAGAGGAGCAGTGCTTCGACACCATCTATATCTGTGCGGACCTGCGTTGCTGTTGTAAACAAGCGCAGAACCAAGGTCCTTCAGCTTCTGGTCAGCCGTCGCATGCATGGAGTACGAGTGCAGACCGGGCACATCTGATTCACCAGGCTGCAGGACTGGCATCATGTGGCATAGGGCAGGGTCGGACCCGTTTGTTGCGGGCGCTTCTTGATAGACGAATCCTTTGCACCAACTCCGCTGCTGAGAACACCTGGGTTGGTCTCAAGGACATTCGCTGGCCTCCGGCCAAGAAGCGTTTGGAACAAACTGAGCGGGATCTCGTCATGTTGCCCCCTCCCGTCCCTGCTCACCCTCCTGCACCCAATAAACAGAGTGACAAATGGAAGTGTAGCCTGACTGTTAGGTGGGGCAACCTTGACTGGGATTCTAGGCAAGGCTGTGACCATCTGTGCCCTCAACTAGGTTTACCCACCAGGTCCCAAGAGCCTCCAAAGATGGGCTTCAAATCCAAGAGGAGTCTAGGGTTCATCTAAGGTCGACAATACTGGGAACTCTGACATGCCTCAGGAGTCAAACCATTAAAGCAACTTAGGGTTTAGGGCTTGGGTCTGCTCATATATTGGCCTTTTGTTTGAGCCCGTGCAAAAGGGCCAAAGTGCTGCGGGTATGGATGCTCGACAGGGGTCCCCTCGACAAGTTGCAAGAGCTCCATGCATAAAGAGTTGTGAGCCCATAAACACGGTCCAACTACACCTTGGATTTCCTGAAGATGCATCCGTTTTCTGAAGGGTTCCTGCTCAGTTTCCACCCTAAATCCTAAACCCTTAAAGCTTAAACCCTTAAACCCTCAAACCCTAAAACCCATAAACCCTAAACCGCAATATCACGGCTTCGCGTGCCAGCCATAAGCCTCTCTGCGAGCCCGGACACGTGCCAGCGCTTAGTAGTGAGGGCTTCACCATGCACATCACAACAGCACATGAAGAAAGCACCTCAAAAACTTGACCATCGGCACATGCTGCAAGATACCCCAACAAAATCTACCAAGGCGCATCTTCTTGCACTCGAGGACATCCGAAACATTCCGCACATCGTCCTGGAAGCTTATGCAAGCATCGCCCCCTGCCATCCAACGCTTGCCGTCTTGGGGTGTGAACACGACCTGATGCAGGATTTTATCTTTGGTCACCAGCCCGGCACCCCGAACGCAACACGATCCCAAGTTTGTGCTTCCGCATGTAGCCGACAAAGTCCTGAAAGAAACTGGTGAAAATCATGAGTCTCTTCTTGGAGGCCCTGTGCCACATGCCGCCTACTTTACACTTTACACGGCATCCACTTTGCAGCCCTGAACCATCAACATTGAACTCTTTTTACATCAGATCTTACACCCTAAACCCTAGTCCTTATAGCCCCCCTTCCCTCCTAAGCACCAGAGAGTTATAGCCCAGGGTTGATAGTTGTCCAGTTTGGTCAACCTCGTAGTCAGGCAGTGGGGTGGCAAGTTGCCCACTGGCATGACTGCATGCAGCAGTCCCCAGCGCCAATACCAATGCCAGCCGACATGTCCGAACTCTCACCATGAATGGCTTCCCTATCCTGATTCTCTAATCTTCATATCCTTTGTCAATCCCCGGTGGGACCCCAACATAGACCCCAAAATACAATAAGCCTCATTATAAGGACCCCCAATCCGTTTTTTCTTGCGGGCCCTCATACAATCCCTGCAGAAACTCTATGCAGATTAATTCCCCCGCTAATGTTAAAACCCCCCCACCCGCCCTAATATTAAATGCTCCAATTATGTGGTATATTGTAATATATTGGGAGAGTTTAATGTTAGGGGGGGTGGGGAGTTTAATATTGGGCGGAAGGATTAGTAGGATGGCACTCACAGGCCTGCAGCCAAAAGTTTTGCGATGCTTCGCTGTTGCTCAACACATACTGCCCTCTCCCCGATAGTGGCAATTCTCAGGTTTGGGCACAAAGATTCTTGGGCTGTGGTTCAGTGTCGAGCTTAGTCCCTGCTCGTGTGTACACCAAGCTATGACGCGTCGAAAAGCCGCTGAATAGTATGATGAAAATGACTACTTGAAATACGATCTGATGACTCATCTTTTCTCCTGCATATTAAACACTCCCACCAACCCCCGACAGATTGCTGCTACTAAACTATGTGGTGTGACGAGGGAGGGGGTTACGCATGTGCTTTGCTCATAAGGACAGCCAGCTGGAGGCCTGCGAAGCATCCAGCCACCACAGGTCCTGCTCAACCGGGATCCTGGCAGATCACATGACTACCACGTTTCTTATCCACTGCTACTACAACCACCTGGAGGTTACACACCTACTTGTTTTGGGGTTAAAGTATCCGCAGTGGAAGCAAATTTGCAGCTTTAAGGTTACACGGCGGCTCATAGGGCCTCATGCAATGGACTACTCAGATGCAAGGACCCCCAAGGACCCTCGGGACATGCAAGGATTATGAGGGTCCTTGTTTGGGATCGGATAGGGATCATTTTGAGAGAATCCCAGATTGAGAAGAATACCGAACTCAAACAGCACGGCATGTTGCTTGTTTGCGCTCATCAAGGGAATGACTCAGAGCCTGGCGGGCTTCACAGCATCTTTTGCTGCATCTCCTGCGGTGTCATTTGCCATGGCGGCTGCAATCTGCTTGACCTCACTGCAAGACTCCACGCATACGGTTCCAATATGGGTGGGAGCGCTGGAGAAGCATTGAATAGCAGAGTCAGAGGAGCTGCGCAAGAAATTCCTACGAGCTGTCCATCTAGCACAGCATGACAAAGGTAAAGGACTTGCGTCGCAAGAGACCAAGAGATGCTTCCACTTTTCTTGCGCTGCATGGCGGAGGGCCGCTGCCATGCTCAAACCTGCTTTATGCAATGAGAAGGAACGGCAAAGTCTTGGAGCTACAGGAAAGGCACCCTGCAGTGATGCTTGCAATCCCGTGAAGAAAGACGTAAGCGTTTCATTTCACACTAATACATAAATGTTTCAAGTGGCCACGAAGCATGGGCTCAAAGCCCAAGTCCGTAAGATGCTGCAGTCATCCTGATAGTTTGGGGTGATACCAGGGGCCCTGCTCTTCAGAAAACACTGGGCCCCAGGCAGAATCGGGTTCAGGTTGACAGCGCCTCAATTTGAGAGATAATAGCATGACACCGGGGGAACCACAGAGGGTGAAGCTAAGCCTATGGGCCAAACAGATTTGCTATTGAAACTGTCTTAACTACTGACGTCACGAGATGCCGGCAGCAAGTAGCTTCATGCGGTGAAGAGTTGTCCTGCAAGATTTGCATTCCATAAAGACTGCGGTAATATGCCTGCGTTGTTGACAAAAGATCGCTCGCACACTGGTTGTTGCCAGCCTCCCACACACTTGGTCCACGGCGCGATCACCCCCATCTAGATCACCATTCCATGGCACCGGCTGCAACAAACAGATATGAGCAATAACAATAGTAGCAATAATGATACTAAAAACAATTGTAGTCAGAATAACAAGAAGAAGAGGGATGGTGATAATACCAGTAATAATAGCTACCCTTGTGACACCTTGTCGGGCTCAGCAGGTCGGCATTGAGGGCACGATCCGGACAACCCGTGCGAGCAAAGTAGCAGTCTGCAAGATTTTACCCCCTAGGTTTACTAGGAAGCTTTAACAATGCTCATTTATGATCGTTTCTTCATATTATATACTGCCAGTGTTCTTGCTACTCTTGTTTTTTTCCAAGAATATATCTCTGGTGGTTCAGCTGCATCGTTCTTAGTAAAGCTCATGTTGTCGTTGGTCTTCCTGCCCTTCCTGTTTCGCCTCAACACTAAACCCACCAAGCCTGAATAGTAGCTTCCAATTGTTCATGATCTGTTCATTCAAGTCTCCATTCTTGGGGAAATATCCTCCATAGTCTGCTTCTGGGTACCCATGCGCCTGCCATAAAATGTACAGTGTGGGAGCATTGCGTCCCGAAAGAGCTCCATACTGCTTGATCAAGGGAGTATCAGTCAAGGGTATTCCTCGGGTCCTGGCCCAACCCATCAGTCTATAACATGGCTCGTGTTAATGGCTCTATGTAACTATATTACACGTATTATTCGTGGGTGGGGGCAGTACCCAAGGTATTCCCAAAATCGTACTAGGTATCCTGACATCACTCAACAAGCTTTCCAATAATTACACTGTATTGGGAGCTCAGGGCTTACTATAACCCATTATCGTACTTTCCATGTTATTTTCCATTATCCCTACAACCCTAAACCCTAAACCCTAAACCCTATAAACCCTATATTACCCCCTATGGTCTGTCTCAGGCTCAGACGTGTGACTGCCAGGTTCCGCGAGCAACAGCGGCATCAGGAGCGGGATGCTTAGGGCCACATAAAGCCCTCACTTCCATCAAGCTGCACATCACTTCTATGTCTTGAAATCTGCCCTTGCCCACATGCACAGTTACACTCTCGAAATGGATGTAGTGACATGGAGGATAACCTAAGGAAAAGACAAACTATTGATCAGGCTTCGGAGCGTTGGGAAAAGACTCCGCTGGTTGCACTCCAAAACCAAGCATTTTACCCTATCAGCCACGCCCCATGCTTCACTACACTGTTCTCAGATCCTCTGCTTGCCAACAGCATACTAGTTTGGGTACTGCCCAAGGTGTAGTGTATTTGCAGGAACAGCTGCTCCCAAAGTCCCACACCTTGAAGTTACCATAATGAGTATGTAACAAATAGTAGGGTTTCCCTGGTAAACCATACTGTTTTCCCAATAACCCTAAACCCTAAACCCTAATTTCCTAAACCCTGAACCCTAAACCCTATTGTCCACGCGATGAGCACGCAAGTACCGGAACGGGTGCTGCTTGTACAGCTGCCGTCCATCCATGGAGTGCACTGTGGAGCAGTGACTGTTGGAGATGGTAAGCCCAGTATATTATAGTATATTATAGTATGTTTGTGTATATCATAGTATATTACATGATAATAGTTTCTGTTCAATTTTCCATGATTTGGTTGAAAGATGTGGGATCCTGCCACCAGTTACCACTCACTTGATCTTCGACCAGCTGGCGACTGAACTGAAAGCCTGCAAAACAATGTACTGAGGGCCATAACGTTAAGCTAACCTTCGATGAGTCACACATGCTGCCCAGAAGGGCTCTCTGATCATAGGAGCGCGTGGACGTCTATGGAGGAGCATCTGATCATGTCTAAAAAATGCTTCAGAGAATCCCACTCAAAGCTCTGCCGGGCCCCTGTGATCTGAGGGCTGAGCATCGAGCTCGAACGCCCACACAATCTGCTTTCAGCTTGTGCCCGCGTTCGCGTACGACGCGCGTCAAAGAGCTGCTGGGTAATTTCCGAACAGCCGAGGTCTTTAGCTATCATATGAGAAAAGTTGAGATGGCTTGATGCCTTGGAGAAGTGCGCCCGACCAAAGACCTACCACAGTCGGAAACTCCCTTGTAAAACTTGTGAAAAACCGCTGGGCGGCTGCAGCACCAAAGGTGAGCTTTGGTGTCGCGCATTATCGAGCACTCCACAATACTAGATGAAACCGCCAAAGCATGAAAAGGATAAGCAGTAAGAGTTTGCAACTCTGGGGGAGCTAGTATTGCGTCGAGCAACATCTTGAATATGGAGATGTGCAGTTGCTTTGAAAACTAAGCATGATCGGTTCAGCAGTGCACCTCTGCAGAACTACTTCATGAGAAGCGGAAATGCGGCGTCCCTGCTGCCTCAACCCAGATTTGCTGGTCCTTCAAAAATTCGGTTTCTGGGAGTACATTTAACAGTAACAAAACACTGTGTTCCGAAACAAAACCTTCCCAAGGCCTGTTCCTTCAGCTGACGTCCGCTCGGCTTAGGCTGAGGACGCTGTGGCCGGCGCAGTCGTGGCCCACTGGCATCATCTAGCGCCTTGCTCACCATGTCCTGGACATGACTACTGGACTTGCCAACGAACTTGGAATGCCATTGGGGATTTGTACTCTACCAGCAGCAAAATAAAATTGCAAAAAATGCATTCGAGCTTCCATTTGAGATTCGAGTTCTCGCTGGAGTCGCACAAGGTCTGCTGGTGTCAGTTTCTGGCGGCGAAGTACATGAGGCTCAGCCCTGGCCCTGTGAACCAAGTGCTGGGCCACTTGAGGAGGTCTGCGCGTGAGCGTAGGCTCCGACCGCGCAGAAGGATGCCGGGGAGGACTCCTCCGAGGACCTGCACAGACCTGCCTCGGTCTTGGCACCTGGACTTGCCTTGCGCTGTGCGACCTCGTTGGCTGCGCCATTCTCTGAGAACCCTGGCGCGGGGACGTGCTCCTCGTGACGCGCACAGCCTCACGTCCAACACAAGCACGCGGAGAGGCACTTCGCGAGCCAGGACGCGTGCTGGGCACACTGCCATTTGGCCGTGCTCGAGCGCTCTGAGAACGCACACGTGAAGGCATTTGAGCGCCCAATCTGGTTGGTGAATTTGGCCGGTCCTTCACGTGCCAGTCAGTCTGCCGCCGCGTCCCGCACTTTCGACAAAATGCAGAATCTGCCGTGTTGATGGTGGAGCACCTTGGAGCAGATTGCGGAGGTTTGGGCTCCATGGGCAGTATGAAACACAGACACTCAGCTGACAAGCTGCTCAGTGCAGCTCATGAGGCTAACGATCTTTGCCCACATCACCTGCCGTGTGCCTCAAGAACTGCTCCACTCTCCCAATCGTGGCGTGGCGCCTGGGGCACTTGTACGGGACTTCGGATGGCGAGCATCGCAAGCCCGTGCTGAAGAGGAGGTGGGTCCAGGTATCCAGTCCTGCCAGAGCTCCAAGGGTGAGGGTCGGAGTGACAGCAAGATTCCATGCATGACACAGCGCAAGTGACATGGTGCTCTGTACGCATACCACTTTACCATTGGGGACCCGACTCTCCACTTTTCGAATTTTTGAAGCCCCTGAACCCCACCCAGCCCACGCCTCGTGGCTTCTCATCTCCAGAAACTGGCCAGGTGTTCACGTTGTGGGGCAGCTGAGTTGATGGCCAACCTTAAAAAGAGGCCCGGGATCTCGCTGCTGAATATATCCGCTCATTATGGGAACCCCCCAAAAATGGCCAATATGTTTTAAACCCTACAGTAACCTGTATGAACCCGTATATAGCATTTTCTTGTCCATGTTTAGGGCTTTATAGGGATAAGAGTCCCACCTCTCTCCACCAGTCCTAGGCCAGCTGGTTGGCCAACATCATAGAAATTACTAACTAAGTACTTCTATATGGGTTCAGGTTTTAGAGTTTAGGATTTGGAGTTTTAAGGTTTGGGGCTTAGGGGTTGTGAGGGGATTATGGGGGTCCTCTTGGGGATGAGATGAACTATAGTTTCAACTCCCAGTATTGCCCCTACAATAGTCCCGTCTATAATCCCCTAAATGATGCCCTTTCAGGAATTTAGACCATAGCTCATCCGCCGATGCCTATGGCCGTCGGATGCGCGGCCCCAAGTTGGAGATCATGAAGTAGCAGCTACGCTCTACTTCGGGTTGAGGAACCCAAAACCTTAAACTCACTATTACGGGGGTGTTGACGTTGACCCCTTTCCTGAGCTCCCACAGCCCGCTTTTGTAGAGGCCACAACAACTTGCTGGTTGTTAACATGGACTGGCAGGATGGATCCCTGTAGTCTTAAACCCTAGGGTTTAGGGTTTAGGGTATAGTAATTTCCACTATCTTGCCCCCATGTCTAAATCCTAAACCCTGAATAGTGTGTCCCTTTTCTTTCCATTCCTTAAATCCTAATATCCTAAACCCTAAAACCTTAAAACCATAAACCCTAAAACCCTAAAAGACAAACCTTGCTTGGTTGTGTCCCAGCAGCGGGCGGAAGGTGGCCACTTGCAGGGTGACCACTCGCGCATCTCCCTGGGGTGACTTTTCAATGACTAGAGAAGGAACAGTTTAGGGTTTAGGGTCTAGGGTTTGGGGCTTAGGGTTCGCCAGCGCAGCGGGTTTAGTTTTGGGCTTTGGGCTTTGGGTTTTGAATGCAGGGGCTCACAAAATCGATGATGCAAGCCAGTAGCAGAAGTTGGGATGTCTTGAGAGCCGGGTGCCTTTTTCAAGGTCCAGAGTCAAAAAGGCTCGAGAAATCTAGCCAGCTTACCCATGTTGTGGTCCAAGATTCCTTGTGTAGTTATGGCCTGGGGAACCTAAAATGAACCTCAAAATGATGTACGTATTTATTCAGAACAATCTCCACAAAGCGCTGTATAAACCCGATTTCCATGTCATTGTTCATTTTCTCTTTGCAGTTTACAACAATGGTGGTAATCAATTCAGGCCCCCAGAGTCTACAGACGACAAACGGATTCTAAGGTTCAGGGATCCCCGGCTCCCTGAAAAGAATCCATGGTTTAGGAGTTAGGGTAAGGATGAAGGGTTTGGGGCTTAGGGTTTAGGGTTTAAGGCTAAGGGTTTAGGGTTTAACTATCATGGAAAATGAAATGGAAAAGAAAATTGACAATGAAATGGAAACGGTGGTTATGTAGGGGATTATAGGGTTAGGATTCAAAGTTTAAGGTTACAGTAAGGGTGCAGGGTTTGGGATTCAAGGTTTAAGGTTTGGGGTCAGGGTTCAATTTTCAGGAATCAAGAACTGCTTTAGTGGCAAGAAAACATTCAGAGGCAGTAGATTCCACTTTCTTTTTGCATTATCCCTATATAGCCCCTGTATTACCCCCATATAGCTCTTTATCCCTATGAGGCATCGTCCAACTCTGGAGCAACTCTGCACGGTTGGTCCACAATGCTTTTGACCTACTGGTGGGTAGTAGGGAATTAGGGAAGTTACCACATAAGTAGGGGATATAACCCCTAAATGACCCCTACGTGGTATATTCCCTTACTCCCTACTACAGAAAGTAAGTTGAAGTTGTTGCATGGAATTGTCAAACTACTTCAGACAAACTTAAGCTTTGCAAGTTCAGAAACCTTGCCCTTTCATAGCCTAAACTCATTCTATCTCTGCCACCATGCATGTAGCAAAGCAACTGTCATTGTCAGAAACTACCCAACCCCACATGCAGTCCAGTGCAAACATTACACCCCAAATCCCTCCCTCAGACTAACACGAAATCCTGCAAGGCGGCGTCCGAAGACTACGGTGTACTGTCCCCTTAACAGAGTTTACACGGATTCCATCTTAGTTAGAAGCTCCAACCCTAAACGCTAGACTCTAAACCCTAACCCTAATTAAACCCTAGACCCTAATCAAACGCTAATCGCTAGCTGAACCCTAAATCCCAACTAAGTAGCACTTTTTTTGGCGGTTGAACCCAGTAAGACTATATTCCTCTAGTAAAATACCATGCTCAAAAGGAGGATATAATCTTGCCCTATTGGGGTGTATAGTACACACCAAAAAGACACTACTCAATCAAACTTAAACCCTAAACCCTACACGGCGCCTCGCCGTCTCCACATCTGAGCAGGCTGGTGCAGCATCGGCTTTTTTTGAAGGCGAGGCTGGCCGAGACTCTTCCTGGTTTAGGGTTTAGGGACTTCAGGGTTTAGGGACTTGAGGGTTTAGGGACTTTAGGGTTTAGGGTTTAGGGACTTTAGGGTTTAGGGACTTTAGGGTTTAGGGTTTAGGGACTTTAGGGTTTAGGGACTTTAGGGTTTAGGGTTTAGGGTATCAAGGTCATACACTGCCTTTGGCATCAATAGTATCCCTAGATAACCCCTATAAAACCTAGTTTCCATTTAATTGTCCATTCTCTTCTCCGTTTGATTCGCCACTATTGGGGTAATAACACCTTAAACCTTAAACCTTAAACCCTAAACCCTAAACCCCAAACCCTAAGCCCTAAACCCCCAAACCCCCCAACCCCCAAACCCCCAAACCCCCTAAACCCCCTAAACCCCAAGCATCGCCTGCCAACTCCGCCAGGCCGGCCGAGGCTCCCGGGAGCGCCCAACGGGGCTCGCAGCCCGCGGCGGGCTCCTCGCACAAGGCATCTTAAGGTTTAGGGTTTAGGGTTTCGGGTTTAGGGCTTAGGGCTTAGGGTTTGGGGTTTAGGGTTTGCTGTGATGTTGCCGTGCAGGATGTGATGAGCAGGTGTC